GGCCAATCGGGTGGCCCTCCTGGCCGCCCAGAGCGTGCCAAAGTTCCGCTCCGAGGCGGAGCGTGACCTCTACGAGGAGGCATGCGCCACTCGGGCTGCCCTCGAGTTGGGGCTGGCCGTGAGTAGACCCCCTTCCCCTTGTGACTTGGTGTGGTTTCGATGCTGACTCTGGGCAGCAAATTCGGTCGTCGCTGCGCCGTCTCCGGATGGAACAGGAGAGCGTTCCTGCTCTCTTGGGGGAGTTGGTGGCTGCTGTGGGCAAACTGCCCACTGCTGCCGCTCCCGCAGTCGCTCTGACTCGGGGTGATGGAAGGAGGGAGGGGGAGGATGGGGAAGTTGGGGCAGCCTATGGGGCCTAGGTGGGGGAAGACCTTGTGTCGGAGGGGACTCAGGCCTGGCCCTTCGTGTGGGGTCACTTCGACCCTTCGTCTCTCATGGTGGTAGCCGCTTGTTGCAACGCCGGTGAGACATTTGGGAAGGGTGACTCCTGCAAGGGTTACGGTGGTGAGTGTGCCCTGGCTCGGAGGGTATTTTAGCTTAGAGTCGCAGACAGCAATGACTCTGTTTCTTCTGCTTTGTCTTTTCCTCCGTGATCGTAGTTTTGTTCCCTTCCTGTCTGCCCTGCTGTGACAACTCCGAGTAGTTCTTGAGATGGACCTGGTAAATCTGGGTATTCCGTATAAAACTCTCTGAGTTTCTGGGGAGAGTTCAAGAAGTTTGACGTTGGGTACCACTCCGGGTCCGGATCGTATCCGACCCAACTAACCCGGTATTGTAGTTGCTTCCAGCGGAGCCTTACGGCGAGGATCTTTTCCACTTCCCATTCCTCTACGCCATCTATCACTTCGCTGCTAGGCTCAGGCGGATCCTGACCAGGTAGGGGATTGTTCGGATCCTTCATGAGTACGTCTGGTGAGAACACATCGTGTATTTGAGAACCGGTAGGTAGTTCCAATTGAAATGCGTGCCCAATCTGTTCTGACACCGTATATGGTCTGACCCATTGTTGGCCCAGCTTGCGGCTAGGACGAGAGTTTTTCAAATTTTTGGTCGATAGGTACACTCTATCTCCTACGTCCCAGTCGATGGCCCTTTGGCGTCGATTCGCGTGCTTAGACATTTCCTCTTGTGCCTTTGCCATGTTTTCCTTTGCATGGACCCATGCGGTATGCATTCGGTCTGCCACCGCCTTGGCTTCCTCTCGGTTTAGGGTCTCCTGGGGGTTGGTGCTTTTCAGAGTGTTCCAATCCCAACTCGTACGCGGATCGGTTCCGTACTTGAGTCGGTAGGGGGTCATGCCAATGGATGCGTGGGGGAGTGTCATTTGCATGCGGTCCATTATGGGGATGAGTTCGCTCCAGTTATCCTGATAATGGGATACGAAAGGCCTCAGTCTCTGATCAATGTATCGGTTCATGATTTCTGTCTGCCCGTCGGTCTGCTTATGATAGGCAGTCGACAGCTTAACCTTAACGCCGATAATTCAACAGAACTCCTGCCAAAAGGATGATACGAATTGGGGTCCGCGGTCGCTTACAATCGACTCCAGAGTGTGTCCGAATCGGTATATCCATTCGATGAACAATTGCGCCATCTGCCGGGCAGTTGTGGTTTTGTAGCAAGGTATGGTCACTGAACTCTTACCGAGTCGGTCCATAAACACTAAGATGCTATCGTATCCATGCTTGTCCCTTGGGAACTCCTTGAAGTCCATGGTGAGGTGTTGCATAGGGTATTCGGGTACGGGTAGTGGGTGTAGGAATCCTTGTTGCTTAGTGACATTGGTGTGAGAAAGCCGGCATGTCACGCAGTTTCGTACATACCGCAAACAGTCCGCTTCCATCCCGACCCAATGATACTTTGGAGCGAGCAATTGGTAGATTTTCCTGCCACTAGGATGTGCTGACGATACTTGATCGTGTGCTTCCCGGATCAGTTTCGTACATAGGTCAGTGTGGCGATTCACACATAGGCGGCCTTTGTACAGGAGGAGCTGGTCGTTCATCGCGAATCCGTCCGGTAGGGGTTGTTTCGCGTGAGTCTCAGTGAACGACTTCCTATTGTCCGCACATAGCGCCTCTATTAAATTGAAGGGCACCTGGGGCTTGGGGGTGTCCATCGAATTAATGGATGCTATGTAGCTCTCGGCGAGTTCAGTGCTGATTCAGGGGTACAGGCGGCTTGGACCTAACAATACCCTCGTCCTACTATCAAGCTTGACTTTCTGCTGCATTACCAAGTCCTGGTCTCTTCGGCTCAGAATATCTGCCTTCTGGTTATTCTTGCCCGCGGTGTACGTAATGCAGAAGTTGAAGTCGGAGAGTAGCTCCATCCATCGAACCTGCTTCGCGGTGAGGACCTTGGTAGACATGAAATATTCCAGCGAATGGTGGTCAGTGTACACTTCAACTCGGTGGCACACCGAAGCCAACTCGGGCCTCCATTTTCCGAAGGCCTTTATTATTGCGAACTGTTCCTTATCGTGGATCTCCCAATTGATCTCATGTCCGGATAGGACATGACTGTAAAAGCTTACGGGGTACCATCGCTTGTCAGGGTGTTCTTGAGACAGGACACCAGCTACCACTCCATCGGAGGAATCTGTCTCCAGCTTCATAGGCAATTTGGGGTTGAAGTGGTGAAGTGCCTGTACTGCTAGGAGTTGCCGTCGCAATTCCTCAAAAGCAGCCTCGCATTCGTCTGTCCATCGGAACGGCTCCAAGGGACTAGTGATGGTCGTGAGGGGCTTTGCTATTTTGCCGAAATTGGGAATGAATTGTCTATAGAAGCCACAGAATCCCAGATAGGACTTCACACCCGTAACAGTGGTCGGTCGGATCCAGTTACGAAGGGGTTCGATTTTGTCGGGGTCCGCTTCGACACCGGAGGTAGTGAGAACATAACCCAAGTATTTTGTCCTGGTGATGTTGAACTCGCATTTATTCAAATCGGCTTGGAATCCAGCTTCTCAGCGACGCTGTAGGACCTTTTGAACGTGCTATATGTGTTCCGTAGGGTCCTCTGAATAGATTAGGATCTGGTCTAAGTATGCAGTACAGAAGTCATCTAAATATTGCATCAGGACGTCATTCATAAACCGCTGATAGGTTGTGGGACCGTTCGTTAGTCCAAACGGCAGCACTTTGCACTTATAGGATCCATAGCGAGTCTGAAAGGTCGTGTACTCTTCTGAGTCGGGGTGCATCCGTATGTGATGGAAGGCTTGTCTGATATCTAGCTTTGTGAAGATTTTTGCTTTCGACACCCGTCCTAGTAGTTCATCGATACGCAGGATGGGGTAGGGATCGTTCCCAGTGAGACCATTTAACTTCCGGTAATTGATGCAAAATCTTAATTTGCCATCCGCTTTCTTTACGAATAGGATAGGGGACGCGAAGGGGCTGTTGCTGTTGACGATGAAGCCTTTCTCTAGGTTCTCTAACAGGTATTGCTTGGTAGCCTTAAGCTCTTCAGTTCCCTGTCGGTATAACGGGGAGAAAGCGTTTGGTAAAGGGGCTTTGAGCTGTATCTTGTGGTCGTATATGCGGTGTGGGGGAATTCGATCTGATTCCAACTTCGAAAAGACATCAGTGTACTTCTGGTGCATATGCGGAAGCTTCTGCTGGATGAGACGGAGCGTTTCTTCGTCCTCTACCAACTCCTTTTCATGGATGATCTGGTCAATTTCGTAGATGCTGTTTCTGAAAAGTCAGTGAGGTGCTAACCTCTGACTTATCCCTGAGTTCTCAGACTCAACATTTGTTACAGCTTGTCTAAACCACTCCACTATATCATACACCTGATTGCTGCGTTGTGGAATAGTCTAAGCTATGACCCTTTGGCTCTTTTTCCTAAGACAGTGTGTTGTCTTAGTAAAATCATCCCTTGCTTGGGTGGCTAGATTCTCACATCTGGTGCACCCACCATTACAATTATGAAGCCATTCCCAGATGAGGACGAAATTGAAAATGATAATGAAGATGCATCTATCACACTGCCTTATAGAGCCAGGGGTGAGACGAATTATGATAAACAGCTAATTCAGCGAGTCTCCAAAACCCAGGATGAAGAGCATCATTCAGAAATTGAAACTGATAACGAAAACTCAATCATACCTGAACCAGAGCTTGATGAATCAGACCAAGAAGTTGATGATGAAGATACAGAGCTGTTACCCACTGTTACAGTGAGGAGAACTCGAAATGTATACACTCCAAAACCTGAGTTTAACAGAGTCACCCGCAACCAAACCCGCGAGCGACCACAACATCCGCATCAACCACAACAGCCACCACTGCAAGCTATGAAGCTCACTCAACTTGCAGTACTCCACGTCCGACTCCCAGCACACTGGCGCACCCAGTGCCAGCCAAATCCGATATGCCTACACCAGCGACTTCAAAACCTTCACCTCGCCGCAGATTCTCATCGCTGCCTCAACTCCCCTCATTGACCTCGCACTCTTATAACTGCCACAATACGGCGCCAACAGCTTCGCACGCTTCCTCAGGGACGAGTCCGACTCACTCGTCTACATGGAACGATCGGACAGCGGTTTATTCGGTACCCGGACACGACGCGGGGGCCTCGACTTGGATTCACACACAGGTTTAGGGGCCATACGCGTATCTGGATAACCAAGTTGATGGGAAGGTGAACCTGCTGTTAGATATTACGGCAGAATGGTCGCATCCTTCAGATAGTCCAGTACGAGACAGTATCCTAGCTTTTAGCTTCAAATTTATAGCAGCTGGGTGGTTGGTCGACGGTATATACTAAAGAGCTGTATCCCGTAGCTCAGCTTACATACCATATATATATTCTGTAGCTATCCATTGTCCCCGACTCCAGATGAAGTAATCCGTGGTAATCGTCAGATCCGCCTGTGGCGTATTAGCATGTGAAAGTGTGGGGTTCTATTTTAGGAGCCACCGCAGTTGTACGTACCTACCCCATTCCGCGCAAGCGCGTTCCTGCCTTAATGCCAACACATATCAAGCCCGCAAACTCTCCTGCTTCTCATCTGTTTCATTTTCTGTATTTTGATTACATCTGTAACTCCACGATGTAGGTTCTTAGGCCCTCTGCCGCCCTGTCGTATACTAACCGCCGCATAGGGCTCATGCTCCTTCAGATACCGCCGCCAAGCACCCACGGCTGACGGCCGCCGAGGTGACGGCATTGCCTAGCTACGCATCAGTGACGTGGAAACTTCAGCCAACACAGGAGGGAAAATTGAAAGTTGCAGAGGGGAGAGGAGGTCCTTTGAACATTTCATGGGAGGTACACGGAACGGGTAAGACGAAGGTCATAGTAAGTCACGAGACACCGCATGGCATGTCGTACATGTGATTGCCACGGAAACCCCGGACTGTTCGGAATCATAACATCATTTCAAGACGTCGTTCTAGATGTTGAAACTCGAGTGGAGCTATACTAACAAGCAATCTTCCAGGCGATAACAGGACTTGGAGCCAACAAGGCAAGCTCATAGATCCCCACATGAATTATAGAGGCTAACACAAGAATAGGCAGCATGGCAACGGCAAACATTGAGATTTGGCCACGAGCAGGGAGATCAGTACTCCTTTCTGATTTTTGACAACCGCGGCATGGGCCGCTCTGACAAGCCTGTCATGCGCTACTCAACCTCTGAAATGGCGAAGGATGTTGTCGAGCTCGCAGATCACCTAGGCTGGACTCAGGAGCGCGAGTTACACGTTATTGGGGTGTCAATGGGCGGCATGATCGCACAGGAACTCGTACGCAGTCCCATCCTCCATATCTTGCATTGTTATCCCGTTCAGCCACTAACGGTTCTGCAGGGTCAACTCATACCCGAGCGCATATGCTCACTTTCTCTTTTCTCCACGCTTGCACGTTTCCAGCGCACCGTCCCTTTCCTGCAAAATCTACGTAATAGAGTCAGCATGTTCTTGCCGAAGTCTCTTGACCGCACCATCATCGACGTCGCCTACAACATGTTCCCTGACAGCTGGCTCGACGCTCCCGACACCCTACGCCTGCCTTCCTCAACTACACCCGGCTGCTTGCCCGCGGGTGGCCACGCGGACTGGGAGTCTGGCGCATACAGCCACTTCCCAACCAACTTTGCGCGCATCGCAGCGCAAGATCTAGAGAAGCGGTCGGACACAGACGGGTTTGGACCGAAGGGGTTCATATTACAAGCCATTGCCGCGGGATGGCATGATATGAGCTCAGAGCGATTGAAGGAGCTTGGAGACAAGGTGGGGAGAGAGAGGATTTTGGTCGTTCATGGAACGGAGGATCGCATGTTGACATTCCCGCACGGGGAGGCTCTAATAAAGCAACTGGAGCCCGGGCAGAGTTACGTGAGGGAGGGGAGAGGACATGTTCTTTTGATAGAAGAGCAGGACTGGCATGACGAAACTATAGCGAAATTATGGGCGAAGACTGCTTCGTTATCGCTTTAAGTTTGCAGGTTCGGATCAAGGATAGTTTGCCGTGTTTGACACCACTAGGAATAGGGCCGATAGGAAGCGCCAACGATTTTTTTTGTAAGGCTTATTAGTCGACAAATCGGTTCATAATAACGTACATGTATAACGAACCGGCCAAACAAGCGAACCGGCCAATCCATTTTACACCTTAAATCACGAATTTCATAACTTAATATCTCAACAACCCTTTAATAATAAGTTATAAAAATATGTACTTAGCCTTTTATAAGCATTTAAAGTACTCTATTTGATTTTTAAAGCAATTAGTATTGTAGTTATTAAGATATTGAGTTTTAGCCCCCACTTTTGACCTAATTCTTAGTATCTTAATAACTACAATACTAATTGCTTTAAAAATCAAATAGAGTACTTTAAATGCTTATAAAAGGCTAAGTACATATTTTTATAACTTATTATTAAAGGGTTGTTGAGATATTAAGTTATGAAATTCGTGATTTAAGGTGTAAAATGGATTGGCCGGTTCGCTTGTTTGGCCGGTTCGTTATACATGTACGTTACCTATTATAGGAAATATTTTAGCCAAGAGTAATAGACTTCGCCCTTACAAGTGCCAGTGTTTATTTAGAGAAAGTGGAGCTCATATTGGAATCCGAGGCCGTTGTTCAACTTCAATAACTTCTTGAAGTGTCACTTCACGGATAATTCGTCGTGGTTCAAATGGTTGTAGTCCTGCTCCTCTCCATGCTGAAGTGATATTTTGAGTTGAAAATGCTAACTCTCTTGCTGTTATATATGCAGATAGCCACTCTGTTTTTTGCACACGTAGGAGTTGTGCTTCATTTAAATGTGAAAGAGCTGTTGTAAGCCTCTTTTTCAATGGTCCAAAAATTGCAACATCAAGTGGCTGTAACACATGTGAAGTATGTGGCGGTAATATAAGGATTGATATGCGATTTTGTATACAGTGAGAAATGAAATTCCCACTTATATGACTGTCATGGCCGTCGCAAATAAGAAGGCGTTGTTGTTATCCTCCATTTGCTTTTGCACGCGTTGCAGGCTCAAATACATGCTTGAGCCACTCAAGTCCATGTAAATTGCTTGTCCATCCTTTTGAATTTGCAGAGAAGTGCCACTTATTTATCACATCTTGTGAAATCCAACTCTGTAGTACATTTTGGACTTTGAATATAATAAGAGGGTTGATAGTTGTGCCGTCCATGCAAATACACTCGACTGCAGAAACCCATTCTTGCTGACCTTAATGTGCTTGATGACGTGTACAAAGTGTAGAGTCAATAATAATCCGTGTAGATTCCATTGTTCTGATTGAGAATCCCGTCTCATCCATGTTATACACATTGTATTCTTTGATGTCTAGACGCATTATAAGTGTAATGGTGGGTGCACCAGATATGAGAATCTAGCCACCCAAGGAAGGGATGAATTTACTAAGACAACACACTGTCTTAGGAAACAGAGCCAAAGGGTTGTAGCTTAGACTATTCCACAACGCAGCAATCAGGTGTATGATGTGGTGAAGTGGTTTAGACAAGTTGCAACAAATGTTGAGTCTGAGAATTCAGGGGTAAGTCAGAGGTTAGCACCTCACTGACTTTTCAAAAACAGAGAATAACAAGATCAATGCTTGGAAGCTTGGAAAAGACGTAGAAGTATGTGCTAGTCGATTTACTGTATTGTCTGCTTGCCCTTTCTTAAGGAAAGGGCAATCCTATTTATGCCAAAGGAGTGTAGTTCTCTCATTTTCCATGACTTTCCATGACTAACCAGGCTTGGTAAATGTATTAGAAATCAAGTGCGACCCACAACTAGCTTGCTAATCATGTAGTGAACGTAAGAGAATCCCATAGAACCATCTCTTGGGTTCCTAGCCTATAGGAAGTGAAAAGAAGGTCCAAGGTCAGAGTACCTATAGACAAATTATGTCATAACTTAACCAATCTTGTGGGTAACTAAGGAGCGATGACGTGTAATGAATCATAGAGGGTTGTAGAAGCTTCTAGAGCTATCGTTCATGTTCCTAGGCCTCTAGTTGGTAGAGATATGCCATGTGGTAGTATTGGCCCACCCCCTTAAGGAGGAGATTTTCTTAATAACTTGTTCAATGAGTGTCCAAATGATATGCCGTGATGTATGTAGCATAAACAGATGTAGTAGAAGAGTTTGCAGCAATCGTTGAGTAGTATTGCTTCTGTTGTTGGTGTGATAAGCCAAGATATGTGTGGTGACTTGTAGGTTTGAGGAGGAGATTTCTAAGTTTGCTCTTGAGTTTGATAGCAAACTGAGTGCAACGAATGTCAGTATGAAAATAAGGTCCTTATACGCGTCAAACCACCCTTGTACGACTTGTTTTGTAACTCCACTCATCCTTTGCACTTCAATTCGTCTTCCTAGTCATACGTTTAATAAAGCGTGCCCAATCTTGTCCTAATGGAAGGTGTGGTATAGGTTGAAATTGTTCGTGAAGTTGATTGTGAAGTTGGTTGTGTAAATTTAAAACCCGGCAATGGTCTGCTCGAACCTCTTCTGCAATTTCTCGTAGTATTCGGTGGCTAGGTGCATATCCGCTACTTGTTAGCTCTCTAATCCACTTTAAGAGTGTTTCTTCTTGCATTTTTGATAATAGTTGTTGTTTTTGACGCGCTTCTACGCGTGTGAGGCCTCCATTCATACGACGACGGATAGATTGTTCTGGGAGGTCAAGTGCTTTGGCAGCTGCATACACTGACTTATATTGTTTGGAATGAATAGCTAATATAGCTTGATCTATTGCAATATTACGCTCTTGAGCTTCTATGCTCTTTCGACGTACCATAATGGAGTTGGGTAGGTAAGATGGTAAGTTTGATGGGGTGGTTCTAACTGTCATACTGACATTCGTTGCACTCAGTTTGCTATCAAACTCAAGAGCAAACTTGGAAATCTCCTCCTCAAACCTACAAGTCACTATACATATTTTGGCTTATCACACCAACAACAAGAGCAATACTACTCAACGATTGCTACAACCATCTATGATTCATTACACGTCATCGCTCCTTAGTTACTGGGCCGATATTACCACATAGCATATCTCTACAACCCTCTATGATTCATTACATGACATCACTCATACTACCACATGACATATCTCTACCAACTAGAGGCCTAGGAGCATGAACGATAGCTCTAAAAGCTCCTACGAACCTCTATGATTCATTACATGTCATCGCTCTTTAGTTACCCACAAGATTGGTTAAGTTATGACATAATTTGTCTATGACATAATTTGTCTATGACATAATTTGTCTATAGGGGTACTCTGACCTTGGACCTCCTTTTACTTCCTATAGGCTACGAACCTAAGAGATGGTTCTATGGGATTCTCTTACGTCGACTACAGTTACCAAGCCTGGTAAGTCATGGAAAGTCTTGGAAAATGAGAGAACTACACTCCTTTAGCATAAATAGGATTGCCCTTTCCTTAAGAAAGGGCAAGCAGACAATACAGTAAATCGACTATCACATACTTCCACGTCTTTTCCAAGCTTCCAAGCATTCATCTTGTTACTCCTTGTTTCTGAAAAGTCAGTGAGGTGTTAACCTCTGACTTACCCCTGAGTTCCCAGACTCAACATTTGTTGCAACTTGTCTGAACCACTTCACTACATCACACACCTGATTGCTGCGTTGTGGAATAGTCTAAGCTATGACCCTTTGGCTCTGTTTTCTAAGACAGTGTGTTGTCTTAGTAAATTCATCCCTTCCTTGGGTGGCTAGATTCTCACATCTGGTGCACCCACCATTACACTAACCCCACTACCGCCAGTATGCCATTACCGCTACTACGCCACGACTTGCATTATAAGGACCTAGAATCGACCTTAGGTTTGGCAGAAGGAGCATCAATTTCAAGTTCTGCAAACCAAACTGATGAACTTTATGATCCTAATTTCAAATCCGAAACCTTCTTTTACACTTTGGGCAAAACAGCTCAAGAGAGACGTGAATCTATACTTGCAAATCGACATGAAAAGGCTGAATGGAATGTTGAAACCTTTGATGAATTCCAGAAACTATCTGTCACCAACCAGAAAATGGCATGGACTTTGCACAAGAACATTCTTCAGGACTATTTGGCCCTAGCAGAGGACTCGAATTCGATACTGGCTGAAAAGGATGATGCCATTCTCCAGTTACAGGAACTGATCCAGAGCAACGAGCAACAAATCACAGAGCAACAAACAATTCAGAAATATCTTGAAAAGCAAACCCAACAAGCTCTGAAGAATGAACCAGGACACCACTCTCACAGTCGACTGTCAGCTCGGATTCCAAACCCTCCAATCCTCACAGATGGGATAGAGCCAGCATTTGAAGACTGGGTTATGAAAATTCGCCTCAAGCTCGAAGCCAACATTGATCATTTTCCAACACAGACTTTACAAATGAGCTACATTCAGAGTCGACTGGGAGGACTGGCAGTTCGATATGTCAATCCAAGGCTTCGACCAAACTCTATAAAAAATGACTTTGGCTTCCTTTTGTCTTCTTGTTCCTTGATCCGCTAGATGTTCTGGTCTATGAGCATGCATTTCTTTGCAAACTCGTGAAGTGTAGTAGCTCCAACTTCAGCCACTAAGGCTTTCTGCATCTGTTGGTTGACTTTGAAGCGCAAGTCATCCAGCAAAGTTTCTTCAGAGTAATCAAGCTCTGTCATGAGCCTTTGGAACTCAGCCCAGAACACTGCAAAGGTGTTGTTTCTCTGATACAGCTTTCGATACTCAGTTTGAGCTGTGTGCCTTCGATCGGGATCACTGAAGACTTTTTCCAAAAGTTCGAGAATTTCCTCTGCTGTCTGCAATTTTTTTCGAACAACATGGGCCAAACTCAAAATCAGGGCCAGGCACTTCGAACTTTAATCCCTCAACCTACAATGGATTCGAACATGCAAAACAAGATGCAGAAGCTGTGTCGACCACCGCATCAACATCGAGCAAAAGAAATGCTCATGAAACTTGGGAAATGCTTCATATGCCAACAAAATGGACATCGCGAGACTGTCCCCAGAAGCTCAAAGCTCAAGTGAATGAGGTATCTACAGCTGAGTCTATCATCGATTCGGAAAACGAATAGCCTCTAGACAAGTCATCACTAGAGGCAGTGCAGCCAGAATTGCAGCTTCTTCCTTGAGATCCAGTTTTGATCCGGACACCCCTTTCTTAGCTACTTGTAGAATAGGAAAATACAAAGCTATTGTCCATGCATTGATAACTGGTGCCACAGGTGGGAACTTCATTAATGCTGCTGATGCAGAAAGAATATGTGATATCGAAGGGATAGCCCCAGTCGAACTTGTGAAGCCAAAACAAGTTGAAGGATTCAATGGAGAGGTTGCCCCTGCTATCACACATGCTATATATTTCTCGGGAAAGCTTGGATGAAGCAACATGGAGTTGTTCTTGATATGATCAATGATCAAGTCCTCTTCACTGGAGAATTAATGCAACCATTCTATACCAGATCGAGCCCTCGAAACAGAGCCTATATCGAAAAGCTAAAGACATAGGCCAAAGAAGAAAGCCAAAGAAATGCCTCCTCTGGAACCTGCTCCGAAAGTGGAAAAACCAAAACCTTGCACCATAGCAATGATTGGCGCAGCACCATTTCGAATGCTCATGTAGCAAAAAGGAGCTCAAGTCTTTGCTATATCAATGAAGGACATAATCGAGCACAAGAACAAGACCAAAACTGAAGAAATTGACCCTCAACTGATCCTTCTGAAGGAATTTCATGAATTTTTGGATGTTTTTTTTCGAAAATGGCAGCAGACAAGCTACCTCCCCATCGACCTTCAGACCATCATATTGAACTCGAATGTGATGCAAAGCTGGGATATGCACCACTCTGGAATATGCAAAGGAAGAACTTGATTTGGTCGAAGAATATGTCTTCGAGCACTTGCCAAAAGGGTTCATTGAAGCAAGCAAAGCCCCATACTCTTCACCCATTATGTTTGTGAGAAATCCAGGTGGTGGTCTTCGATTCTGTGACTACAGGAAGCTAATTGCAGAATTTCCATCGTACTGAAGGACTGATATTATCTAAGTAGGGCTTGAGGCAGATGTTTTTCCGTACAATAGGTTGTGGAATTTCAACACTTGAGTGATTCTTTGCAAGTCGTTCGACAATTGATCGTGCGTAGGGTAGATTTTCCTTATTAATAACTTGTTGAAAAGTGTCAAATGGTTTTGCAAGTAGCAAAGATCATATGCATAGTGACTCTTCAGAATCCTTTTGAATCGTCTGTAGTCTTCCGCTTCGTGGCTTTGATTCGAGGTGTTGGAGAAGGTTGTGAATTTCTGTATTCCCTGCCCTTTTAACAGTTTGGTGCCATATATATGCAATAGAGTCAGCTGAGATTCCAAGCTTCTTTTCAATCTCTCCATATGATGCGTTCATGTATACACGCAAGGTAATAATTGCAGCATGTAGTGGTATTGAGATTTCAGCCATTGTTGAGCATTACTTCATTGCTTCATTCACTCTCATATTCTACACGTGTACATTTTCTATGCGTGTACTCGGGTACAAGTACATGGTGCTTGGTAGATTCCTACAATCTAATTGGCTGTTGTACACAGACCCTGTGGAAACTTTTAGGCCGCACGAGTATATACAACTATGTTGTTGTGGAGTGAATTCTCTTTAGCGAGACCAGTTCTGAGAATTCACTCCACAACTGAAAACTTCGCTCCAACCCTGGAAAGCTCCCCACACCCCTGAACCCCCACTCGAGCTGCAAGGTGCACTTGATATCGTAACACTTCCCCCCCCTACTCCAAAGTTAATCTCCTGATCAAGAAATCTCATTTTCAAAAACAATTGTCTCAAGCTCTCATTTTTGTTTCTGAGGGTATTTTCTGTGATATGCTTGGGTAACTTCTAGAGAATTTTCGAAGCTCTCTGCAGTGTACCATGTCTCATCCGGTGGATAGTTCTTCCAAGCTGCCTTGTAGAAAAGCTTCTTTCGAATAACTTTTGAGTCGAGGATTTCATCCACTTCCCACTCCTCTTCGCCATTGACAATGACTGGAGGCTCTGGCTCCTGTTGCTGCCCTTTGATTGCATCATTCGAGTCGAGTCTTAATAGATTGGCATGAAAGACTGGATGAATCTTCATGCTGTTTGGAAGTTTGAGCCGATATGCAACTTGCCCAATTCGCTCTAGAATTTTAAAAGGTCCCACTTGCTTGTAGTCTAGCTTCTCGAAGCTTCTGTAGGACTTTCCTTATGTGCTCTGTATGCTCTGATCGAGTAGCACTGTAGATAAGGATGTCATCCATGTATGTGGTGACGAATTGGTTGAGGTAATCCATGAGGGTTTCATTCATGTACCTCTGGAATGTTGCTGGACCATTTGTGAGTCTGAAGGGCATGACCTTGTATTTGTATGATCCAAATCGAGTTCTGAATGTAGTGAGGTCTTCATCTTCTTCTGTCTGCATTCGAATTCGATTGAAGGCATGTCGAATGTCCAGTTTGGTGAGATATTTTGCTCCTATGACTTGGGCCAGCGTTTCATCAATGAGTGGTATGGGATATCAATCCTTTCGAACTTGAAGCTGGATCAATTTTTATTTTCTCAGACGAATCATATATCAATTTTGGAGGGAATCCACATAAGAAATGATGGATAACAGTTCAACGGGGTCAAACAGCAGAGAGCATGGCAATTCAACAGAAGAAATCTTTATTTCAAGTTATGTTTTGGGGAGCAATGAGTTCAGAAACCTCTATCTTACACCCCTTCTCGTTCATGGATTCCTGAAAGTATAGAAGAGAAGCAGATACATGTCAGAAACTACGAGAGATAAATGCATATTGGAAATCAAAAGCAGAGAATGAACTTGTTAGAGCAACAACAGTTGGAACTCTTGAGTACGGATATATGGAAACTCTAAATGCAGATATTCGGAATGGCAAAAGCAAATGGAAAAAGCCACGAGTTGCTTCACAAGAGTTTGGAGATATAGAGACATGGAGTAGAGGAAGGCAATCAGAAGGCAAGAAGTTTCAAAGGGCGGGATTGATTGGTTTCTATATCGAGAGAAGGTTCTTATTCCGCTTCTCTTCCCCTACTTTCGAAAAGTAAAGGCTTTACATCCTACAAAACACCACTCGCTCCTGTTACCCCACCCCTGCTCAACAGAGCACTCATCACTCCACACAACTTGACCCCAATCCTCTGCTGTCCAATTCCTCCGTGCTAAACACCATGCAAGCCGTTTAGCTGCATGTATTGACAGTAAAAAAGGGCAACACTTTGCACGCCAATTGCCTATGCCTGCTTCTTGTAGTATCCTCTTTATAGTTGATGTTGAGCAAGCAACATTACAAGCATCCTTTACTTCTTGGTATGTATCCCTTGGGTTTAGGCGTACATGGCGGAGTATAAGGTGTTGCTCTGCTTCTGTATATGACTTTCCCTGTGGTGTACGGGGTAGGCTCTCGCCTTCGGTGCGTATTGAGTCAACTGCAATTGTATATCGTACAGTGCTTCGGTCAAGGTTTAGGTCGTGTGCAATCTTAGTAGGTGTTGCACCCTCTGACTGCCTCCCAATAATCTGCCCGCGTTGGTATAGGCTTAATTGGCCACCAGGCTGTCGATTCCCATCAATTGGAGCCAAAGCCCTCCGAGTTGGTGGCATAATTATGGTTGTTGTACAAGGAGGGGTGGGTTACGCGACGCGATTTACGCATCAAATTGGAATTCAGTTAATAGCAGTGGTCTAGTACTGTATGTGCTTCGTTTAAGGACAAGTTGGGGTGGTGTATTGCAGTCAATGGGAGGAACAACTTTCGTGGGTAGATTAACAGTATGAGTAGAGTATGTACATGCATTATCCAAGTACTTACATGCCCCACTTATTATGCACAGACCCGTGGCCCGCACGAGTAGATCGAGCCACTGCTTGAGTGCTCCTCTTCTCTTTCCTTTCTTCTCTAGATTGAATTTAATTTATAATACCCAACTGGCGCCCTATGCCTTGGTGAACCGTGACAATCGTAAAGTCTAGTTCTTCCTAATAGGGCTCTCACTGTTACGATTATAGCTTACAGCTTGTTACAGTTGTTACAGTTGTTACAGTTGTTACAGTAGTTACAGTTGTTATGGTTATTATGGTTGTTATGGTTGTTATGGTCGTTATGGTTGCTATGGTTGTTATGGTTGTTATGGTTGTTACGGTTGTTATGGTTGTTACAGTTGTTACAGTTGTTATGGTTGTTATGGTTGTTACAGTTGTTATGGTTGCTATGGTTGTTATGGTTGTTATGGTTGTTACGGTTGTTATGGTTGCTATGGTTGTTATGGTTGTTATGGTTGTTATGGTTGTTACGGTTGTTATGGTTGTTACAGTTGTTACAGTTGTTATGGTTGTTATGGTTGTTACAGTTGTTATGGTTGTTATGGTTGTTATGGTTGTTATGGTTGTTATGGTTGTTATGGTTGTTATGGTTGTTATGGTTGTTATGGTTGTTATGGTTGTTACGGTTGTTATGGTTGTTA